TTTTTTTTTTTTTTTTTTTTTACATGTTTTGGCCAAGTGTCTGTCAAGTTACTGGTCTTTCATGTTAATTTACTAAAACTCGTAGGAAGTTAATTAGCTCTTTGCCTCTGGGAGGTTTCCTAACTTCTCCTTTGTCTTTTGACCCTGAGGTGGTTTTTGCTGATTTCCTTTGATGCATTCTATTCATCCGACTTTTCGGTGATAGCTAATGGATTTTCCTTCCTCTACTATACCCCTCATTCTCTCGAGCCCTCTTTATTATTCTCCCTTTTTCTTTATTTTACTCTGTGCCTTTGCTGACATTTCCTCCCGCTTCCAGCCTCCGATGAGGGCGCTTTGTGGTGGGAGTGGCTGGCCCCACATCCCTCCTGCAGAACACACCTCTGGGTTGGTTACACTCAGGCCCAAGACCCTGTGCCCAGGCTTGGGCTCCCCAGTTCCTGTGTGGAGTCTGCCCCTCAAGTGTGCCCCAGGTTTGTCAGATGGAACCCAGGAGCCTGGCTTCCTTGCCCCCCTTTCTGCAGGCCTTGCCATCTGCCTACTTTTGTCCTGGTGCCCAACCCATCCCTGTTTAAGCAGACCGGGTGTCTTCAAACGGCTCTGTCCCACCGTCCCCTCAGGGAAGCCTGCACTGACAGAGGGCCTGTTTCTGGGTTCCACGTGGGTCTGGGCAGAGGGCCCTATCTCAGGAGGGGCTCCCTCCGTACAGGCTTTGCGCTTCTGACAGACGGCGATTCCGCGGGGCCGGCGGTGCTGAGCCCGCAACTCGAAGTACCCTGGGATCTGGGCCGAGTCCGGCCGCCCTCGCGCGACAGCGACTCCAGCGCAAACGAAGACCCCTGCCTGGCTGCCGCTGGCTGGCACCCAGTCCGGGGCCGGGGCCGGCCGGGCTCGGGGGCCGGGCCGGGCCGGGGCGGTTGCTGCGACGTGTGCGGAAAGGTGTTCAGCCAGCGCAGCAACCTGCTTCGGCACCAGAAGATCCACACGGGCGAGCGCCCCTTCGTGTGCGGCCAGTGTGGCCGCAGCTTCAGCCGCAGTTCGCACCTGCTGCGCCACCAGCTCACGCATTCGGAGGAGCGGCCCTTTGTTTGCAGCGACTGCGGCCAAGGCTTTGCGCGTCGTGCCAGGCTGGAGGAGCACCAGCGCGTGCACACGGGCGAGCAGCCCTTCCGCTGCGCCGACTGCGGCCAGTGCTTCCGCCAGCGCGCTAACCTGCTGCAACACCAACGCGTGCACGGGGACCCCCCGGACTCGCGCCCTGCGCCGCCACCCCCCGCCCCCGCCG